TTTTCACATTTGCATATAATATTGCCAGACACAGTAATAGCCATCAAGTCGTAACAACAGTTTTTACACCCGAAAAAAACGCCATTCTCTCCAAGTGTAAGAGTGGCCATTCGAAACTTCAACTATTGTAATATAACTAAATGTTAAGTTATAACAACATGTTCAACAGCACCAGTCGTCTAGAGAGGAGGAATAGGCGTGCAAGTGCAGCTTTTTCAGCAAATGCGAGTATCAAGTAAATTTTTTCTTCATATATATATCTACAATGTAAGATAGGACAGCAGTTTCTCAACCCAAAAAAGGTAATCGGACGATGGTGTAATTCCATTCGAATAAGACTTATCACCGCCGCATAGGCGAGTCCGAGTTATTACTTGTTTAGCTCGTATTGCTGCTGAGAGGCCAGCCGGACCGCCACCAACTACAACTAGATCATACTCCAGGGAATCTTCCGAGGCACTGAAAAGAGAACAAGTTGTCTCTATGGTGGTTTGTTGGCTATAATGGAGTTTCACCCCTGTGAAAAAATATACTTCACAATTCACTTCGTGGAAAACACTCGTCGTGTTATCGGTATACTTCCTGTGATTCACATGGAGTATTACTACGCCACTTCACGTTAAACGGGTTGCTGTGAAACTCCAATGAACAACAAAGTCGTTCATTTTTTCGAATGAGATTCACCCAAGTGATATGTAAAACACTAGTGAAAAATATATATTTCACTCGACTACTGCATATCACCGCGAATATCGCCTAGCTTTTCACCGAGTATTACCCCACTTGACGTAAACGGACTGTGAAACTCCAAAACCATACTAATATTATACATACATTATAGTGAAATTATATTTTATCATAAATATTTATCTTTATTTTTTAATATTGGAATTTCGCGGCCTGTAGCAGTCGTGTTTTTCACCGGTGTTTTCCATATCACTAGGGTGAAACTCCAATGAACAATTTCAGTTAATTCTTATAATTAGTTTTAGTAGTAAAATAGTTCTATATAGACGGTAGTTCCGTAGTGAACTTGATAAAATGGGAATAGTGCGCGTAGGAACAATCGGAAAATTTTGAAAATCATCACCACATTTTAGATTCGTACGAATCTAAGTGAATACAACATGCATCTATTTGAAATTAACCATATGTATAGTTCGAAACGGAAAGAGGTCGTCACTACTAAACGCCGACCACAACATCTCGTCAAACACGAGAGTAGTATATGGATATTGTTCGAATACCTACCTCGAGAAGAAGCGTATTCCCTGGCGTAATGGGCAAGGGCGGCAGCAGGAGGAGGGGGCGAATGCTGATGCAGAGAGTGTTCGTAATGCGCTGTGGCGAATCATCTAGAAAAGGTGCTCGCTGGAGAATAAAGCTCTTAATAGTGATGATATAATTGGACTTGAATATAAGCAATATTTATGATACTTTTTTGCAATGAAAAAGTTTCTAAAAGACAGGTTATGGACAATATGATTCCTATCACACAATTTGGTAATTGTGTCGAGGGGCTCAAACTATTGAGTGGAATTTCACAACAACCCGTTTTACGTGAAGTGGCGTAGTAATACTCGGTGAAAAACTGGGCGATATTCGCGGTGATATGCAGTAGTCGTGAAATATATTTTTCATTAGTTATTATTATTAATACTTTCATGTTACTCGACTATAATCGTGCGTCATAATTTCACATTTTCGGATCTCTTCCACAAATTCTAATTACATATTCTTATACTTTCAGCTTCTCACTTATTAATTCTAAACACCTCCCAACACTCCAATTGTACTCTTTACTTCAAAGCATTCCTAAACCTACATCGTGCGTAATTTCGTCACGTTTTCTTGCACTTCTTGCAAGTAGACAATTTGTGTATTACTCGTGCAAACTTACAACCATTTGGCGGTGGTCGCATATGTACAGTTGTACCCAAACTATACCTACAACGCTTACCGAGCTACTATCTGCTACGTCAGATCAGGGTTGTTCAAATCTGTTATCTTTCATGTAGACGGTTAACACAAGAAGATGTGAGTGATGAGTGTTACAACGTAATTAACTTCCATGGACAGGCACGATTTATGCAAATTGCATAAAGGCGAACGAAAGAATCGCAAAAGAATCGGGTGAAATTCTTTCCGTTGAAATTGGGCATAATATGAGTCGTTTCTCTCTACTTATAATCTGACGGTCAATATAAATATGTGGCATAGATTATTACAGCGGTATATATTCTGCCACCTGTACAACAACTTGATATTCCTAGGATCATATCGCGAGCTACTTGAGGAAGAAATTGGCAAATGCTAAGCAGTGAAGGAACCGAATGGGCCCGTCGTTCGTTTTTACGATTTTTCAATCAGAAAGTTTCATTTGGGAATAACGCTACGGGGCACTACCTTGTTGAAAGGTCATCAGAATTTAGGGTGCTTTCTCATGCGGAAGTCACCTTTCCCGATGGCCTTTCAATGAAAGGCTTTCATATGGATCCTGATCTCGACCCTAGGGACGCTTATACGATGGAGAAGCGACTACCACTTCTCCAATGTTAACTTCTAGGAAGTTTCTATTGAAGGGTTTTTCCGTAAGCTTTTAGTTTAGGAGTCGTATAATGTACCTCTTTCCACAGTATCGTTGTTAAGCTATAGCTTCCTTTACTATGCCTTCTACCACTCCAGCAACTGAGTCACCAGTACCCACGATTGATGTGCAGCAGAATGCTTCCCTCGAGGCGGCTCTCGATAAGCCACCTTTCCGCCTTATATTAGTCGACTTAACTGACAAGGTACGTAATATGAATTTTTGGTGGTTTGGATGCTGGTTCTAATTTTCAGAATATCGCTCAAGTGAAACTACTGAATGAGCTCACTTTCCCCGTTCGTTACGGCGAGCACTTCTATGAAGGTTTACTCAAGTTCAAGGATAACGGAGGATTTGTGAAACTCGCGTATATGTGCGACGTCTTGGTCGGCGCTATAGGGTGCCGTGTTATGCTGGTTGATCCCAAGGACCCTTCACAGGGCATGAAAATGTAATAATGGATATTTCGATTGAGCAGTTCATCAGCTTTTAGTATGCATAAAGTCAACTACATGAGTTGGTGAGTAAGTAAAATTTTGAGTTTCAAAATTTTGAAAAAAGTGAGTTTCCTAAAATTTGTAGGAAATTTTAGGAAATTCTTGTTGGTTTCCGTACTTGTATAATTAGCTTTGGAACCTCCTGAGTTCAGCTGCTGAGGAAAGGGAGCATATATTCATACTCCAACACTATGATTTGTGGTTGTTGTGGATTATTAGGTACATCATGACGCTCTCAGTCCTGCCCATGTTCCGACGATGCCGTGTGGCGACCACCCTTCTCAACGCCCTCCAAGATGAGCTCGAGAAAAGGCGAGCTACTGCCTTAGCCGAAGCGAAAGCAGCATCGGCGAGTCATCACCATCATCATGGTCATAATAATGAGGAGGGCCTAGCAGCTGGACAGGTTGTCAAGATCTGCCTAGATGTACAGGTAGTTTTAATACACTTGAAGGATTCTCATCAAATGTATCAGAATATTGGAGTTTCACACTTTACGTTAAGTGGCGTAATACTCTGTGAAAAAGGCGATTTTCGCGGTGATATGCAGTAGTCGTGAAATGGATATTTTTTACACTAGTGGAGTTTCACCCTAGTGATATGAAAAACACTAGTGAAAAACATATTTCACGACTATTGCAAGGCGCGAATATCGCGTTTTTTACGGAGTTTTACGCCACTTCATATAAAACGTGTGAATCTCCAGTGTTTTTCATATCTCATTAGGGCGGTGAAACTCCATTGATACTAATGTTTCATACCGTCAACTGTCACTATCGTTTCAGGTCAACAACGCTTCTGCGATTTGCTTTTACGAGAAGCACGGCTTTGCTAAGGTTGCCGAGGTCCCCGGGTATTATCCTGATCTCGATCCGAAGGACGCTTATACGATGGAGAAACGACTACCACTTCTCCAATGTTAACTTCTAGGAAGTTTCTATGGAAGATTTTTACCTGTTTGGTGTTAGTTTGTAAAATAATGGTATGAAAAATTTCAAGTTTTTCCTTTCTAATGCTCACGAAGGTTGCCAGTACTGGTCTTCAGCGAGCGGTACCAAGAGCGTTTTGTACGGCAGTTGAGCAGTTACACGCAGCTGGTGTTGTGAAGGAGCCGAAGAAAGAAAGGGAATTTGCAAGGCTGAGGGATGGAGAGGAATCGTTTGATGTAGAGGAGACTAGACGGTCCAGTTTGTGGTGGCAAGCGATCGGTCGGAACGCCAACGTCACTCGCCAGGAAATGTAATATAATAGTGGTTGGGAACTACTATATAGAGAACAACTTCAATGTTGAGCAGTTTTGGAATATATGTAATCGCTTTCCTCAGCAGCTGAGCTCAGGAGTTTTTTATACAGTGTTGGAGTATGAATATATGTTCGCTTTCCTCAGCACCTGAGCTCAGGAGTTTCCCATACAGTGTTGGAGTAGAAATATATGTAATCGCTTTCCTCAGCAGCTGAGCTCAGGAGTTTCCTATACAGTGTTGGAGTCGGAATATATGTAATCGCTTTCCTCAGCAGCTGAGCTCAGGAGTTTCCTATACAGTGTTGGAGTAGGAATAAAAAGATTTTTTATTCTTAGAGAAAAATTTTTTTGCATACTACTACTGTAGTAGTAGTATGCCAGTTTTAGGTTGAAAGTAGTATAGTAGTACTATACTTAGTACTAGTAGTGTACTATCGTAGTATTATATGTTAGTAGTATACTTGCTACTAGTAGCATGTAGTAGTATGAAGCAGTATTAGTATGAAATCTAGGAGAATTTTGAGATGGAGCTAAAGTGATGTGTTATAATGCAGGTATATGGAGTATAAGCATTCACTGAAGTCGTTACGGTCACTACTCGACTACTACGACATAGCTGTGCCGGCTGAGCAGGAGATCGATCTCGAGAAGTCCGCGGCGAGTGTCGGCCTTGCACTGCCGAAAACTCTAGGCTAGTGAGTTTCTTGGGTGACATAG